AGGCGGAAGAGGACGACGACGACGAGCGAAGAAGCTCCTCCTCCGCGTGAAGGGCCTCCATGTCAAAGCCGGAGAGGTGGCGCTCTACGGTACGGCGCTCCGTCCGCGCGCGGGCCCGTTTGCGACCTGAGGTCCCCTCGAGCCCACCCCTGCGATCCGATGACGCGATCGACGAGGTCTCGGAAGGTGAGGCGGAGGCGGTATAAAGACTGGAATTTAGACTATGCTGATCGGAAGCCTCGTCCGAACTAGGCTTGCGCTTTGAAAAGTGAATAATGTCATCGTGGGCGTTGGGAAAGAATGGCAATGTCTCCTTCCCATCGGTGTGGTGTGCGCTAGCATGAGATTCGCGCACACTTTGCGCGGGTGCGGAGGCCATCTTACCTAACACGCGACCCTGTGTTTTCTGTTGTCGGTTAAGAACCGAAGTCGTACACGGTTCATCCCCTTTGCGCTCAACTCCGTCTTTATCGCCGCAACTCTTCGGCTCTTGAAGTCGCCGCTGTTCGAACAAATATTCTTCGACGTTCTTGGGTAATGAGTGAGTGGGTGTGGGCGTTTCTCCGGCGTCGTCACGAGAACATTTAATAGGGTGTGAATCGGAATTCTCCTTTGCGCGACTTCGCGTTGCGCCTTTGGGGTTAGATTTTGAATCCTTTTGAAGGCCCCTTTCCCTTCCGCCAGCGATTTCTACCAAACCCCCGGGTGAATTCTTGGCGAGCGGAGCGCCATTGCCATTCTCCGGATGAGAATGGCAAGAGGACCTGATCCGCTGAAGGACAGCTGGCGGAATAACGAAATGCCTCGGCGATGGTTCTCCCACCGGCGTCTCCACAAGGGCCTCAGAAGCCGGACTACCCACCAATGGTGCAGGGTCCTTGGTCAGATCCGTGCTGACGACCGAAGCCTGTTGAGGGCCGTCCACGATATGTCTAAATCGTTTAGGGGGCATCCTCTCTTTACTCACGTGATTGTAATCCTGGTAGTGATATGCTCAGTTTATTTTCTTCTCCGTCCTCGTTCTTGCTGACTACCCCCTTCGAAATAACCATATATTGCTATAGAGTTATATCCCTCGCGTACTGAGTTTTCATGTGTGAAATTTTTAAAAAAAAAGAAGGAAAGTAAGCAAAAGTTAAGCCGTCCCAAGACTAAGTTGATGGAATTAGAAGTCAGAGATGATGCGCCAGCATCACACAGAATAGATCCTTGGTTTACTACGTAACGACTTAAGGTATAACATTCCGATGCAGACATTTATGTTATATAGGTAAAATTAGGGGGATTACGCCTGGGGCAGGTTAACAACTTTCACTTATCTCATTAAGAAAGGATCTAAAAGATCACGAACAGAGGCAAGGAAAAAATACGAAAACTAATTAAACGAAGAATCATGGGTGAGTTAAGGATACCGTCTTAATCTTTAAACGAAACCGACTTCGAAGGCCGTTGGGTGTCCTTCCGTGCCTGTTCTTTTTTTCGCGACGTCGCCTCGGCGGAGCCCGTCAACGCGGCCTGCTCCATAAGCTGACGCTTTTGCTCGTCGAGAACGCGTTGGAAGGACTCGGCCTCACGAAGACATCTCCGCTCCTGCCGCGCACTCCGCACATTCACCCGTTCGAGCCGCTTTTGTTGAAGTTTCTTCGCGAGCTGGACCTTCTCCCGGATGGAATGACGAACCCCCTCGGAGACCGCCTTGGCGATCGTCATCGCCTTGGCGTGCTCCTCGGCGAAGACATCCGTTTTAGCATTAGTTTTAGGGTTGTTGTTGTTGTTGTTGGGATGAGGGCTGGGGCTACTCTTCGCGCTATCGATGGCGCCTTTCCCGGGGGTCTCCGCTCTCGCCTTCTTTGCTTTTCCGCTCGAACTCGCCGAGGTGGATTTCGCTTCAGGGACCTTTGCAGACTCCGAGGAGGCCTCCGCTGCGATGGCGCTTTCCTCCTCGGACGTATTCGCCTGATTGGGAAGTTCCTCCCTCGGCCGTTTATCGCCCTGTGAGGGCAGAAGTCGGGGGGAACTCGCGGAGGGTTTCCCCAGTACCGTCCGCCGCATCCGGACGGTGAGATCGCCCTCGGCGTTCACGCGAAAGCGCAGCGCGCGCTGTTCGCGAATTTTGTCCTGAATCACCTCCCACTCGTTTTGCAGCCCCGCCGGGAGGTCCTCGTTCAAAATGGGCAATCGGCAGTGCAAGACGCCGTTCTCGAATTCGTACGCGCCCTTGTCGTGGTCGACGCGAAGTCCCTCCGGCATGGGCAAATCGAGTCGGTACTTTTTGGTGTGCCCGGAGGTGTCCACCACCAGCCGCGTCGCCGTCGTCCCCGCGAGGTCGATCTTCTGGGGGGGAATGTGGTGCAGCACAACATCCACCAGCACCTCCTTGCGTTTGTGGTGAATCTCGAAGTGGTGGTTGGGGGTTGGGTACCCCCCCGCCGCGGAGGAATCCGTGGAAGACGTCCGCGAGGGCTCGGCGGCGGTTGAATCCCCCGCCTCGGACAACTTCGGCAATCGAAGTTTTTGATGAAGTCGCTCGACCTCCCGCCCCGCCAACACGACGGCGTTCCGCCGGTTCCGCAGACGAATTGAGCTCAGGGAGACCTCGACATCCTTCGCCCCCTCCGCGGCGGCGCTGCCCCGCGCCTCGCGGCGTTTCTGCGAGGCCGCACGCTTTTTGGCCTCTTTTCGAACCCCGCGCGCGCGTTTGGCGATCTGACGGAGCTCCGCCTCCTCCTTGCGCACCTTCGAGGATCCCATTTGGATGCCTTTTCACGGAATCACAAGGAAAAATGGGATTAAACGTTGAAAATATCACAAACTACACACAAATATATTTACCTACGTATATATATATATATATATGTGTGTGTGAAAAGAAACAACTCGTCTACAAGAATAGCCACAATCGAATTCAATCCGCTATATTGACATGCACTAAACTGTCTATGCTTCTCAAAAAGGCTTTCCCGCCAAAAGACCGGAGAATATTATTGAAAAAAAAATGAGAAAAAGAGAATAAAGAGGCAAGGTTTAACAAATCTGCTCATGCGAAGGATTATACTGGACCAAAGCACACAATAAGAAAAAGCAAATAGAAAAAAAATTGGAAGTTTGCTCAAGAAGAACATCAGAATAAAAAATTAAATGAATAAACAGTGTCACAACATTATGGTTCCTTCTTTTATTTATATGTAAAAATTTGAAATCTGATCAACTGATTACCTTCCCTGATGCTAAGCTTAATAGAATGGTATAGGGCGTCAAAAAAAAAATCGCAGCTGCTAAAAAAAAGAAAAGAATAAGAGGAAGTCGCCTTATGCTTGCTAAAAATCAATAAATCGCTGAATAAACTAAAATAGGTCAATACCATTTTTATTGAACAAGCAAATACCTGCAGAGTGAATAAAGTAAAATAATGAGAAATGATCGAATCTATTGAATTATAATCACAAGAAAGAATATCTGCCATGTAGCCTCAGTAAGTCAAATGAAAACCCACGTTTCTTCTGGTCTGTATTCTACTTGTAGCAAATAAATCCAAGCTAACAAAAAAAATCAGATAACAGATGAGAAAAGATGCATATAGCATGGAAACGATATATTTCTGACCCTTAAACGTTCAATCTAAGTTAACATAATAATTACGAAACTTAACGATTTGAATCGATAGAATTATTTATTATGGTCCATCTCATGTGGAGCTCTTGTCATCATTTGCATAACCACATAATTCCCGGCATGCAAGACATCGTGAAAAGAATAGACGGACATCGCTCTACGACCACATGAAATACTATTGCTGCCTTCCCCCCTAAATGCCTTTGTGAGAAAGCGTACTCAGAGCACTGTTAGTATTATTAATTATAGAGTTAGGAAAAGTATTAAATTCCAATAAGTTCTTTTCCTACATAACCTCACCCAAAAAAAAATTTTAAAAGAACTACCATATTTCAATTTGGGACCCAAAACCTCAAAAGAAAAAAACCTTCAGTATAATTATACACCTTATTGTTGAAATTTAGAGTAAAGGTAGGGATCATTTCTTTTGTCTTATCACATTATTCCATTTATTCGGAGTTTAAATGTCTGTAGATAGGTGAACGAATAAAACTTCGTCAAGACAGCACCCCTCTCTGTAGCATCATGCTTTTCTTATATTTTTTTTTCTCTTTTTAGATATCGCATAGATCGTCATTTTCACTAAACCAAGATGCATCTCCCGATCGTGTGCACTTTCCAACCC